CACATCCCTCCTCCTCCCTCCCTCCCCCAAATTACAGACATTACTCTCAAATAATTCACTCCTCCCCACTTGCGCACACACGCACGTGCGCACACACACACACACCACACAAACACGCGCGCACACATGAATGCACACATACACACACACATACACCCGCACATGCACACACACCCACACTGACATGCACACACACGCGCACACCCACACACGCACACACACGAATGCACACACATGCACACACATACACCTGCACCCACACAAGCACACTCACACACACCCACACACCCACACACACGAATGCACACACCCATACACGCACACACACAAATGCACACACATGCGCACACATACACCTGCACCCACACATGCACACGCGTACACACCCACACACGCACACACACGAATGCACACACATGCGCACACATACACCTGCACCCATACATGTACACGTACACACACCCACACACGCACACACACACGAATGCATACACACACACATACCCCCATGCACACACACACACGCACCCGGAGCAGGGCTTCAGAGAGGCTCCCCGATGGTGCAGAATGGCACCGGGCCCCCGGCCTGCCGGCACAGAGGGGGTGAACCTGCCGCTCCACAGAGAGTCCCCATGCGGGGCCAAGGGCTCACCTGCGCCCCCAGCCCCTTTGTCCTGTCTGCATCATCAACAGTGCTTGGGGGCGGGATTTCTACAGCTGTCTGAACCCTGGTCCGTGCACAAACACACCAATAAACAGCAGACACCTGCCCCCTCGCGGAAATACACACCCATCCAGGCACGTCTATACACCCCCATGCACCCCTAGTGCACAGACATGCCCATAAACACAACACACACACAACACACCCCCAGACAGAACTACACACCCACCGAGGCACATCTATACACCCCCTTGCACCCCAGTGCACAATCACGCCCATAAACACAACTGACACACGCACACAACGCACCCCCGGACAGAAATACACATCCACCCCCACACATCCCCCGTGCACAAAGATGCTCATGAACACAACAGACGCACTATACACACCAATGCACGCCTACTCATACACCTGTAGACACCCCCCTTATGCAAACACACTCGCCCATACACAAGCACACCCGCGGAATACACACCCATGCGGAAACACCTCCATTCGCACTCACACAAACACAACCACACACACACAGCACACGTCCTTGGGGGCACATGCTGTGGGGCTGGAGGATGGGGGGGGGGGGATGCCCCATCCCCCCGCCGCT